TCGATTCCATTTTACAAAGATTTTAACGAAATCAGCAGAATAAGTCTAATTGAAAAACGATGAGTACAGAAAATAATATAATTATAACAATAAACTACAAACTTGTCCTTTGTGATTTACGACACCCGATTTACCATCTTTTCCCATACAACACCCACCAAGTGGATGAACAGTAACTAATTTACATCCCAATGCTCTTTTCCAAATAGGTGAAGCAACATAATCCCCATTAACGTTGGTTGTAGCACGTGATAATCTTTCATTCAATTTTTTAACCATTTCAGTTTCACCGACACCTTCATATTCAATCTTAACTTTATTATTCACCAATTGTATTCTTCCAGTATTATCATCATGAGACATTATTAAATAAGTTTGAGTATTTGCCATCGCACCTTGATAATTCGAAAGAGAAGAAATTTCTCTTAAGAATTTAGAAAAAGATTCACCAAAAGTAATATTGGTAGGTTTATCTTTATCGCGAACATCAGTAGTTTTAAGCAGAGTTTTTAGAATTGTGGCTAAAGCTGCGGGACATACACCTTCTTCGATAACATAACCATCATGTACAGAATCACCAGATTGACGCATATCAATTATTCCTGTGATACAAGGACCAACTGGGCCATTTGGGAAACTTAAAGAATTTTGATCACCCATTGCGATCCCTATAAATTGAAAATAAGATCTTAGAAAATTTATATTTAGAAAATTTATATTTAACAAAATATATATATATATATATATAATTATCGCGAAATAATGTGCATGCGCGTTATTTCGCGAAAATATATAATCAAGCTTACCATTACACTTTAGATCCAAGTTATAACCAAATCCTAAAATCTGCAATTAAAAAAAAAAATAAACAATTAAAATATTTATTCAAAAATTTAACAATAAATAAATAAAATAAAATAAAAGATTTTTTTTATGAATACTTACATCACCATTTCCACTAAATCTTTGACCCACTTCTGGGCTAACTTCAAGACCAAAATTTCTGGATCTGAGCAAAATTTCATTCGAACCAATAGTACCAGCAGCAAGAAAAACCACATCAGCAGTTACAAAATATAGAGAATTATGGTGTTCATCATTATATATCTCACGCTCTTCCTGTCAAAAAAATTAACAAAAGACGTTATAAAAAAAAAAAAAAAAAAAAAAAAGGCTAAAAATAGCATCATAATAAAATATAATTACATCTAACCACTCGTAAAATATGACCCATTTTTTGCTTTCTTTATCTTTCTTAATCCTATGAACATTAATCTGACAAAATATCTCACAACCATGATTCCAAGCATCAGGAACATAATTCATCAAAGTACTATTCTTACTACCGTCATTAACACCAGTACAATCATTTCCAGTAAGCTTTGATTTTAATTGCCTAACACCAGCAGAATTAACACGATTTTCAAAAGTTACAGTAATTGGAGGACGATAAAAATTGTTTGCATATTCAGGACCAAGTTTTTTTGCTTGTTCTTCTAAAGTATTAAGTTTAGGAAGTTCTGGAAAATTTTCAGGGTATGGCTCTGGTTGAAGCATTTCTCTTGCTCGTTTGTAGCCTATACATGTATACATTTATTTTTATTTTTTTTTTTACATAAATTTTTTGTTAAGAATTATTATTTGTAAGATTAAATGATAAAGTGAACATGAGATATATTCATACCCAATGCTATGCCTTCTTTATCTTTATTAATTTCTTCAGGCCAAACGGGCATATCCCAAACACGTTTATCAGCTTCAAGAGCAACATTGGCATTTATAAGGGAAGTTCCTCCAAGACTAATTAATTATATATAATTTAAAATCAAAAAAAAATAATTAATTGCAAGATAAATAATAAATGTCGCAGCTTATAACGAAATCAGATTAAAAATGAAAATTAAGATTTCTACAAATATTCTTCTATTGAAATCCTAATCCTAACTCTAATCCTAAATTCTTAATCTAAAGTCTAAAATTTATCACGATGTGTAAATTTCAAATAATCAGATTTCATTAGGGATGAGGAAATTTGAGTAGTTTATTTTGGTTTAATTTAAATCAATCAAAACCAAATCAAACTTCCCAATGATAATTAATTAATTAACATACCCACAACCTACGACAGCAGCTTGATCACCTCCATAATAGAAATGATACATTCCGGATTTTTTGCCCTTATGGATTTCATTAATGTCGCATTGAACTTCTTTAAAACAATCGAACATTTTCGTAGGATATTCTCCTGGCCATCTTTCTTTTCCTAATTATATTTGTTTTTATAATTAGTTTAAGAATTTGCATAGTCAATTTTTTCTTTAACATGTGACCGGAATTATCCAATGAAAAACATTCAATGTCAAATACAACTCACTCTCGTTATAGTGAATTCATAGTGAATTCATGAGAGAAAGAGTTGTAACGTGCACTATGTATTAATATTTGTATATTTTGTGTGCGTACATAAAGTAAAATTTAAATTAGGCTCTCTTTGCGCTACCTAATTTCAAATCTGAATTTTTTTTATATTTATATTATATTATAGCTCTTTCTTATTATATTATAATTCCCTCATATTATAATTCTGTTATGATTCACTCATACAATATTATAATTCTATTATAATTCCCGTATTACCCACATTACAATTCACTCCCGTTATAGTGAATTCTTGACAAAGTCAGTCAGAATAAAATTCTCTCGAAATAGTGAGTTTTAAAATTTTTATTACAGCTGTTTTCAAAAAGGTGTGAACAACGATTCCCACATACCTATGTGGGGAATCGAAGAATTGGGAAATTA